AGGTGAGATGCAAGCACCTAGCATAATGACCCTCACAGAATAAGCACAGTTGTCAGCGATGGGTGGGCTCACCTGCCAGCAGTCACTACAAGGATCCCTTGCCTAGGACGTCAAAGCATGCGTTCCCACTGTAGACACAGCCAGACAGGGAACGGTCCTAGACGGCCAACTCTTGGGGCTCTAAAGGGAAACTTTAACCCCGTGTTCCCACTCCCACAGATGGCAATACAGGAAAAAGGCTCTTTCCTCCGCTCATCTTCATCTGCTCTTCTGCAAAGTGCCCAGTGCGCTCGGCTCACAGCGGACAGCCCACTCCTCGCTCTCCCCTTTCCTGGTTATAAATACTGCAAACGGCTTCCACACACATTCAGGTAAATCCCCGTATTGTTCAAAAGCCAGGAACGGGGGCTTTCAGAAGGAACAGGGTAATAAGGTCAAAAGATGACCAGATGTTGGCTTCAGGCAGCAGCCTGACTTATGGGACAGACAGACAGGCAGACAGACATGGCTCACATACATGTGGGTTTCTACATGGCATGGAGCTGGAGCTGATCCTTAATTACCAGTGCCCGTGGGGGGCTTGTCAGGGGCTTCTGAGCGGCAGGCAGTCCAGGTGCGGAAGTCCATCTGCCCTCCCGCTCCCTCCTCCCTTCTGCCCTCCCCTTGAGCTGGGCTTGGATTCAGGCAACGTCAGCGGTATGTACTGGACAGAATGGCCTCAGTCATCCTGGTCAAGGAAAGCAGCCCCGCGGAAACGCATTCCACCCAAGTAAGCCAGGTTGGGAAAGGACCAGAATGGCACAGGGGCGGCTTAGCAAAATGGTACCGGAGACAAAGCTCCCGGAGTCATGGCCTGTGGACCGTCAGGCCCAGGGCTCAGTCAAGAGCCAGCAGCAGAGACACGGCCAAACACCGGGGCAGAAGGTCTCCCCCATCAAACACTGTGGGGGCGAGGAGGAGATGGGCAGGTAGAGTTTCTCAGCTACACTGACAGCAACACAGCACCAGCTTGAATCTGTACTTCCTGCCCCCTCGGGTCTCCTGCCAACCCCCTCTGTCAGGCACTAGCGACAGCCAGAAACCAGGGACATGGAATACCATGAGGTCCCTAACGGCCTGCCTGGGAGTGTGGCCTTCAGCTCCCCACTGAAGGAAATCAGGCAGAAGGACTGAACAGTGGCAGCCTCCATCAGGCACGTCTGCCTGGCCAGGCTCACTTCTTCTTTTTTGGGCTACAAGCAGCGGGCCCAAAGAAAAGGGGAGAAATTTGGGGCGGGGGTTAGAAACCGAAGAGAACTAGCTTCGTAGGGCTAGCCATCCCGATGCGGGTAGGGGACCCCGCAGGGGGCCGAGGGTGATTAATACCATCAGAGCTAATGAAAGAGGCAGAACACCATTCTCTCCACAGTCTTAAAAAATGCAACACACACACACAGAGCCTTCGCAGAAGCTGCAGGACTGCCCTTTCTGAACACAGGCTTTGGGGTCGGGCTGGGCAGGGGGTCCCAAGCTGGCCGACATCTAAATCCACCCATTAAATAGGAAATGTACCATCTACCTGCAGGGTGGCCATAAAGAAGAGGCAGGCACGGTCTCGCCCAGCACAGGTGCTACAGATCTGGGAACACAGTGGGAACTATTCTTACTAGAGCTTTCCGACCTGCTCTAAATAGTTCCTGCCCACAGCAACGCCTACTGTGTGTGGTAAGCGGGGTGGGGTGCTGCAGGAGGAAATAAGAAAACCAAGGCAGCATGTAGCATCAAAGGTCCAGCAAGCAAGCATTGCTTGAGCGCTCCCACACTGTCCCACACCGTCCCGTTCTGTCTGCCCCTTTCTGTGCTACGTATGCTGGGCTAGGGCAGGGATCAGGACACTTTTGTTCTGCAAAGGGCAAGAGAGTAAATATTTCCAGCTCTCTGGGCCACAATGTCTTCGTAACGGCTACTCAACTCTACTGCTGGGGCACAAAAGCAGCCACAGATAAAATGCACATGAATGGATGCAGACGTGTACCAATAAAACTTTATTTACGAAACCACCCGGTGCACCATGTTTGGCGCCAGGGCGATAGTTTGCCAACTCGTGGTCTAGGGTTTGGGGGTTCATCAAGTTCACACGGCCAGCGAACAGCCAATTCAAAAACGCAGAACTGGGACTAAATAGGAAAGAACTCCATGCTCTTCCCATGGCCCCACCAAACCTTCACAATCCCACCACCAGTAACAGGGTCGGAGTTCTCATCAGCCCCACCCATGCCCAGCTGCACTGTCGCTGCCACCCTAAATCCGATGGGCCCTTTCATGCTCCTTCCCCCGTCTTCACCCCACTAAGCACCCCCAATCTCCGAGGAACCAACTTCTCCTAAGTCACAGGACACTTACAGACACAAAAGAGTAAGCCAAGTCACCACATGCATTAGCAGTTAAAGGCATGGGCTTGGGGCGTCTGACAGGGTTCATCTTCCCCTCCAGCTACTTCCTAGCAGGCTGGACGGGGGAACCTGAGTGTTTCCCTCGCCTGCAGACACTGGTTAGGAGTTCTGAAAATCAACATAAGACATGGAGAAAGGGTTGCTCAAAACTGGAATCGTGAAGACGTCACACTCCATGTAATTCTCTTTTCCTCAGTAGGCTCTACATGGACAAGAGATCATCATCTCCTTGCAAGACCATTTCCTTTGGACTTACTCTCCAGGTTCTGTACTTCTAAAAGCCGTGCAGAGAAAGCACATAGTAGGTGCTCAGTGAGGGCATGCACTTGATGGCCGCACCTCACGCGGAAGCAGACGCAACGTGGGAACCCCACCCCCCACCCCGAGCTGTGAAACCATTTTCCCCACGCTGAAGATCTCATTTGTCATGCCGGCTGAGCTACACATGGCGGGCTGGAGGGCTGTCTGCTTCTCTCTCAACCCTGTTCACCTCTTAATTGAGTGGGCTCTGGTGACTTAGCTTTTTTGGCTCTTATTCCTCTTTGCGCTTCTCCAGGGAGAGCATTCTCCCTGGAGACTGCTGGTCATTATCAGTCTATGTAACATCACTTTCTTGACAGAAAGGGGTGTTTTTGGTGGGGTTTCTTTTTTTAAAGAAGACAGAGGATTTCACTGCCTGATTTAGGCCTGGGTGTCTCTAAAAGCTTAGAGAATAAAGCCACAGGGGATGGCACCGAGCACTTTAGAAACCTGATCTGCCTTCCCACAGTTAACTTCAGAGAATAGGAAGGTGTGTGAAACCTTGGGCCAGGCAAGCTCCTGAGCCCCCCTTCTTATGTGGGCGTAGAGGCACCTATAAACCACTGCAGATCAATAATCCACAGATACATCAGCTGGGAGATTCTCCACTTTCCAGACAAACCAGGGCCACACTGCACGTGGAAAGGAGGGGGCTGGATACTTCAAACTCCTAGGACTGAAGGCACCATGCTACCCTCTGCAGTCAGAGATGCCTTGACTGGCACACGGAAGGATGTGTGCCCAGCACTCGCCACATCCGCTAGAAACAGCAATAAATGCTTGCAGTGTTGCCTGGGCGCCAGGCAGGTCTAAGGCTTTCCATGTACCAACTTAAACTTCACAATGACCCTATGAAGTTTGTCTAGTATGCCCATTTTACAGATGAGGAAACTGGGGGCACCTGGGTGACTCAGTCGATTAAGTGTCCAACTCTCGGCTTCAGATCAGGTCATGACTGCACAGTTTGTGAGATCGAGACCCATGTCGGGCTCTGTGTTGATGCGGCCGAGCCTCCTTGGGATTCTCTCTCTTCCTCTCTCTCTCTCTGCCCCAGCCCTGGCTTGCTCGCTCGCTCTCTCTCTCTCTCTCTCTCTCTTAAAATAAATAAACTTAAAAAAAAAAGTTTACTGATGAGGAAACTGAGACAGAGAAGTTAAATAACCTGCATGAGGTCACACAGCTTTAACGGGTGAAGCTGGGACACCGGGCAGTCTGGCCCCAGAGCCCTGGCTCACCCACGCCACGAGCCGCCACCTCGTGCAGACACATCCCACCCTTGGGAACCAGCCCATCTGTTTTCTCCGGAGTGCGGGTCTTCCGAGCCCCCGGCACTGAAGGTCTGTCTGGATCAGGCTGCCATGGGTCCAGCTCTCACTTCGCACTACAGGCAGACGGCTCGGGGACAGGGGAGGGGCCTGCAACTGCCAAAGTCATGCAACCACCCCGGTGAAAGCAGCAGCACCGACACAGGCCTCCAGACTCCTGATACAGTGCTCATCTCATCGTCTTCCAGACTCCCAGCCAAAATGCACAATTAACAGCCGGACACCCAGGGAACCTCTGGAGAGCACTGTCCTTCTCCCGATAGGAATGAACCCAGAAAGCCGGGGACCGGGCCAACATGAAGCCACGCGGAATCTTGTGTGACTCCAGCGGGATCGTAAGCGCCTATCAGGTGCCGGTCTGTGGGCTCCGGCCCTGTGACCATCTGCAACCAGGCCGAGCACCCTCACCTGGTTTTCTTTGTGAACAAATACACATCCGAGCAAGATGGCTGGCAGACAGGAAGGCTGCAGCCCACAGCAAGTTTCCCTTCTGTGTGAAACGTGAGCTTCTGGAAGCCAAAGCCAGGAGCCAAGGGCCAGGATGGGCTGCGGGACGGAGGGTCGTGTGAGCATCTAAGTTACTCGGCCCCAATGGGAGAGGCTTGCACGCCGCCCTCAGCGGCAGAGAGAGGCAAGCTGACAGACAGACGGCCAGTCTAGGATGGGCGCCCACCCCCCAGAAGATGACCGTAGCCACCGCGTCATCAGCTCCCCCGACGCGTCCCTCCTCACCCTGCAGGTATAGCCCCCGAGAAAGGAGGTGACAAGACAAATGGGGGCCCTCGCGCACCGAGCCCGGGTGGCACGCTCGGCCTGCTGGCGTGTCCTAAAAACTTTAGAGTGAACATGCCAGGCAGAGGGAGGGACGCGGCCGACACGGACACACGGGCCTGGGCTGCGGGCCCCCCCGCCCCCCGCAGCGCCCCACGCGACCCCCTCCTACCTGCTTCCATCAGCTGGCACTGCTGACCGAAGACGTGGGAGAAGGTGACCGGGCCCGTGGCGGAGCCGGAAGGCGCCAGCGTCGAATCCATGGCGCTCCTGCGGTCTCTGGTGTTGGTCATGCGGCGGCGGCCAGACCCTTCGGCGTGTCCAAGCCAAGGACACCACCGCCACCAGCCCAGGATCCGTAGGTCGGAGGCTACTTGTCACTTCCAAGAAAATGTCCCTGCTCCCAAAGTTTATCAGGCGTCTCCCTCGTCCCACTCACTCCCTGCGGTTTTTCTCAGACACGAAGCAAGTGACAAATGAAAGCCTCTCTGGTTTGTCAGACAGACCTTGCACGCTACCGGACTTAGATGCGCACGGAAATCTAAGTTTTACCAAGCAGGAGTCCTTTCCTCTCTTCTGGGGGGGATGGCGGGGACAGTGCGGTCCCCCTCTGCCTTCCTGGGAGTCACCTGGAAAGGGCAGAGTCCGAGAGGCTGCTCCCCCGGTGGCTGGAGAGCTCAGGCCCCAGCAGGTGCCCGGCAGCTGCAGGAAAAGCACTGCTTCCTTGGCGGCGTCTCCTTCCAGGGCGCCGGGCAGGCAGCGCGGGAGAGCTGGCCTCACAGGCCCCCCTCTCCCGCAGGCGAGGCCCCGCAGCTCGGGCCGGCAGGGTCCCCGCACCCCTGGGCGGCTGGATGCAGAAGGGGGGAGAGCAGCGGGCAGCGGGCGCAGCGCGGGCACCCTGCGGCTCCGGATCGCGGGCGTCCCTGGCTCATCCTTCACTCCTGACGCCTCTCCCTTCCCGCGTCCGTCCCCCTCCAGGCAGGGCTGTGGGGAGGAGAACAACACAGGGTTAAGGAGCCCCTACCCCCAGCTGCCGTGGCCCCAGGGCCCCCAGCCCGCACCACCACCCCTTTCCCATGATGCGAAAGGGACCGGTACTTGGAGAGATTCTGGATGCGGAGGGAAGTGCTAACTCAGCCCAGCAGGCTCCTGGCTGCCGTAACCTCTTCATGCCCGCAGCCCAGGAGGTGCCAGCCTCCAGAGAGGAGAACGCTGGCACTAAAACCCCAAAGACCAGGAAGGGAAGAGGCGGCAAACGCCACACACACCCCCATCCCCCGGCACACCCCCCATGGGTGACACAGGGATGGGCTTTTCGGGGTGCTGCAACCTGCTCCGGCCCAAAGGGACAGTGTCTCTGGGAAGAGGGGGGAGGGGAAGGAGAAATGCCTTTCACATGATTACAACAGCTGTGGCAGTGGGTGCGAGGTCTTTATTTTGCTATCCCATCTGCCGATCGCAAAGGTGCTGACTTGAGAGACTGAGGGACAGAGACAGAGAGAGAGAGAGAGAGAGAGAGAGAGAGCCCCTGCGTCTTCTCCAGCCAGCATTTTGGATACTTTTGTGCGGAAACTGGCAGCGGTGCTGGCAGGACACAGCCACCAGGGCAGAGAACGCGACACGCAGCCCAGCGGCCCCCAGGCCTGTTTCCCCAGAGGCATGTCTGCCTCTTCAGTATTTAAGATACAGAGAGTAAAGTTCCAGCTGATGTGTGGGCCAGCAAGTCTCTCAAACAGAAGCGCTTTCCATTCGGGCTCTCCGCCAGCTCAGTGATGTGCAGGGGGCTGCGTGGGATGGCGAAGGCAAGGCAGAGAAGCCGCGAACAACCTCCAAAAGTCACATGAAGTCTACTTCACGCTCGCGCTCCGAGGTAGCTTGAACAACGGAGGACCCGTATCCTTGCGTGAAGAGGTTCTTCTCCAAGTCATGATGTTACAGGCATCAGAAACCACTCCCTCTGACAACCGAGGTCTAACACAATCAAGGAAAAGACCAGAGTTTTTGAGAGCTGCGGACACCCCACGCAGGACGGGAAGTGGATCGGCTTCCCACGGCTTGGGGGCTCCGTAAGTTTCAATGCAAGCCCCCCGATGAACGACTGTGCCGTGCTACAGAAAATCCAAGGTGGGTTGTGGGGAGGAGGGCTGAAGAGGGGGAACACCGAGAATCTTCAGGGCAGTGAACATTCTCTGTGTGAAGCTATGAGGAAGGATACGTGTCATCACACGTTTGTCTAAACCCACAGAGTGTACAACAGCGAGAGTGAAGCAGAACGTAAACTACAGACTTTGGGTGCTGACCACATTTCCATGCAGGTTCATCAACTGAAACAAATGTCTGGCTCTGGTGGGGGTATTGAGGGGGGGGGTCTGTGCATGAGAGGGTCTATGGGAAATCTCTGTACCTTCCTCTTAATTCTGTTGTGAAATTAAAACTGCTCTAAAAACTATTGTCTTTTTTTTTAAGTTTATTTATTTTTGAGAGAGAGAAAGAGAAAGAGAGAGAGAGAGAGAGAACAAGCAGAGGAGGGTCAGAGAGAGAGGGAGACACAAAATCTAAAACAGGCTCCAGGCTCTAAGCTGTCAGCACAGACCCCGATGTGGGGCTTAAACCCATGAACCGTGAGATCATGACCTGAGCCAAAGTCAGACACTTAACTGACTGAGCCACCCAGGTGCCCTCCCACCCAAAAATAAAATCTTTAAAAGAATAGGGTGTCTTGAATGTTGAGAACAAACTGAGGACTGATGGGTATGGGGGAGAGGGGAAGGGGGGAGATGGGCATGGAGGGGAGCACTTGTGGGGATGAGCACTGGGTGTTATATGGAAACCAACTTGACAATAAACTATTTTTAAAAAAAAAGAATGGGGTGCCTGGATGTCTCAGTCGGTTCGGCATCTGACTCCTGATTTTGGCTCAGGTCATGATCTCATGGTTCATGAATCTGAGCCCTGTGTCAGGCTCTGGGCTGATGGGGAATTCTCCTCTCTCTCCCTCACTCTCTGCCCATCTGCCCCACACACACACCAAAAACAAATAAATAAACTTAACAAAAAATCCAAGATAAACCTTCATACACTAATTCAACCTGCAGATGTCCTTTGTTTGGAACACCATGGGTTTCTCTCCTCCCTTCTCTGCACACCTAGCCCCCCACTGCCCCCTGTTCCATGGTGCTCCATGTACTAAATCTACCACATCTCACCTGAGTTGCCTCCTGTGCCAGGGACTGTAAACAACACAGTAAGGATGCCACCTAATGGTCAGTTGTCAACACGTCACCGAAGTTCAGGACTCCGTGAATGAACACAACCATGCTTAGTAATTACGCCAGGTTACGTGGCATCTACCAGGAGAGATGAAGCTGTACAAGAATTTCCCCGGCTACATACCCGGTGGGGGGCAATGATTCAGAAATATATGCAAATGTGATTTCACTCAATGCTGCCAAGAACTACTCCAAAATGGCTGGTTCACGCCCTCACTAGTGCCGCACGCGGTCCCCACTCACTCACATCTTTACCAAGAACTTGGGCAAAAATTAGAAAGCTGGGCAATCCAACAGGTATGAAGTCATAAGGTTCACCATTTTGATTTGCCTTTCCTCACGTACGAGGAAGCTGAACTCTCCTTGGAAAGCCCATCAATGGCACAGCTTCCTCTTCAGGAAGGACCATGGTAGAGGAAGGTGCCCCATCTCCCGTTCATAGCCTCTACCACCCTTCCAGTCATTTCTCGCTTCTGACTTTCTTGTTGATTTCCTTGACGTTGCGAGATATTACTTTAGACCTTGCCAAGATCTCCTCACTGATAACTTCGTGCATGGCGTCTTGTCTAGGCTAGAAAGACTGCATTTTAATGTGGTCAGATCCAATGCTCCTTTGACTTGCAGTCTGTTTTGAGCGTCTTGCTTCAAACACCCTTCCCTAAGGCGGCAGAGTCACCTTCCCTTTATAGCTGCACCTTCCACGTGTAGGCCTTATCTAACTGGAGCCTACTTTTATACCTGGCACAGGGTAAGCCTCAGATTTGTTTTCCTCAAGACTGTGAACCAGTTTTCCAAAAACCATCTCTTCCCAACCCATCCTTTCCCTACTGTGACCCCTCGGTCATTATCTTTCAAGTTCCCATGCCCATGGGTCTGTTCTTGAGCTCTCTCCTGTTCTTCGAGCTCCACCCCCCCAATACTGTGCCATCACTGGTAACACTGTGGAGTCCGTGACCAACATTTTAAAAAGCCCAGATTCCAAATGTTTCAAGACATGTCAGGTTTGATGCTGTATGTCTCTTACTAGCAATCAGCCATAGCAGCGGATACCCTCTTATGCGGAATACATGCCTTCCCGTTACACCAAACTTGGTCTGCATTCATTTACAATACAAACCTGTTTCTCCCAGAGATGTGGTCGGGTATTAAAAACATCTCCAAAGACAAAAGTCAAAAGATAATCACGTTCAAGAAAACATTTACTGACTTACAGGGCTTTTGTTACATGTGCTAATAAAGTTCCTGTATTAATTATCTATTTGATACCTGACACAATGCTAGCCACAGGCAGACGGAACAGAGGTGGGGCATGGAAGGTAGTGGAGGGAGGAAGGAGGAAAGAGTGGGAGAAACGACACATAATTTGTATGGACATGTTAAAAACACAGAACAGTCAACCGTAGAGGGAAAACACCACACTGTGTACTGTGGATCGTGAAAGGTCTTGCCGTTCCAATATAGGTGAGGGTATGACCTTTTAGGGGAACCTTTAAGGGAAGGAGTATGTCAGCTGGATCTGAGAACAGAAGTGGGCTTTGCATCTGTAGAAGGAAAAGACTGGGTGCGGGGGAGGGGCTAGCACAAGCAAGTCATTTGGCCAATCCTAGTTTAAATGCCATGTTATGCCAAAAAGGTTCTCAGGGCCACTTACGACTCTTTAGATTAGGAAAGATAAAAACTCGCTTTACTTCAAATCAATGGTCATAGCTGTATTTTTTAAATCTCCCCTGGTACCTTTTCAGACTTTAAACTGCTCTGCCCCAGAGGGCGCCCTTGACTTTGCTGAGACCCATAACCCCCCCGAGGAGATAAGAACGAATTCTCTAACTAATCAGGCTCAACCTGTCAGCTGGTATCGCCCACAGTTCCCAGGAGGGCCAGCGTACCCCAGCCAGGCATCATAGACACGCAGAAACAAAGGGGAGAGCGATTTGGGAAAAAGTGACCCTGGGCTCAGAGCAACTTGTTTTATGAAGCTCTGTGTCTCACAGCAAAAACCCCCTCAGCAGAGGCTGCTACGTGCCATGAGCCATGCTATGAGCTCCGTGGACATCCTTACTGAGTAACAGATACTAACATGCCCTTCCCAGATGAGGACACCCGGACTTAGGAGAAATTCAGGT